GCCTTAGCCACTTGAGCTACAGTTGCCGAGCCAAGAAAAAGAAAATTTTTGTTGAAAATTTTAGAGATTTAGTACAAGTAGTTCTCTAATAATATGAAAACCCGATGCTTTTTATTTTCCTGTTTTTCCTCTTTCTTGTACTTTTCTTGAGATAACTTATTGCTTGTTGGGTGCTCTTGCCCAACAAGCATCAATAAGTTATCTCTTCTCAGATATGCCCAAAGGATTTATTAAAAAAAAAAACAAACCAAAAAACAGATGTGGTTTTAAATTTCAAGAATAAAAGTATTTCAGAATTGATATAGTTATAACTTGGAAACTAAAACTTTTCACGGAAAGTATAACTTTAGTAGCATAAATAGCACTGTAATTTTATCCTTATCTATAATTATTTCTTAAATATCTCAAATAAGTTTTTAAAGAACTCTGTTTGTATTTCGTATTATTAAGAACTAAGTAGCTCACATGAAATACCAGAAGTAATTTTCATTAAAATATCCTATTTGTTTTCAGGTTTCAGATTATCTTGAAGTTATCAAGGAACCAATGGATTTATCAACAGTAATAACTAAAATTGATAAACATAATTACCTGACTGCTAAGGATTTCCTGAAAGATATTGATCTCATCTGTAGCAATGCTTTAGAGTACAATCCAGATAAGGACCCAGGAGGTAAGGATGCAAAGGCAAAGGTTCACTTTGATGATAAATGAGAAAATAGTTTATAGTTTAAATACTAAATCATGCCTGTGTTTTAGATAAATTTTCATGACCTATTACTATTTTTAGAAATTTCTTGATGAGGGACATAATAATCTACTTAAAAATCATGTATGTAAATTAGAGGATTTTATAGTTATAGTTATGTTCAATGTTTAGTTTTTCATTTACCTTTTACTTTTTATACTTAGATTATGATTTTGTTCAGATTGATAGAAAACTGAGTAATTGAGAATTTCACTTAAAATTTGACTTAGTCAACAACAGCAATGGTGATAAACTTGGAGAGTATTGAATTTGCAGGAATCCGTGATAGGATACATTTACATATCAAAAAACCCTTTTATGTAGAATATTATATCTTCTGCTGGTTGTGGGTATTTTTATGTTGTTTTATTATTTTATTCCTAATCTATGCTGCACTCAATCGTGTAGTCCCATTTCCTATCATCACCTTCCAGGGAAGACCATCAGGAACATCATCTGTAGTCAAACAAGATGAGTGTATTGATTGTTGTGTATATATGTACTGAGAGAAGAATGTTCCTCATGTGGAACCATCTGGGATTTGGGCTTGTGTTAAGTAAGTGTAAGGAAGTGGGTCTTTGAGTGGGTTGGACACTGTTAGAAAATGGGAGCAATTTTGAGATTAGGCATTTTAAGAAACAAGAGTCTAGAAAAATGGAGCAAAGCTAAAGCTGTAATTGATAAGAAATAGTAGTTATACACATTAGGACAGGATTATGTTTGGTTATTTTTGTTGTTAGGACAAAGTTCACATTTTCACCTGTGTTCAGACATGATTACAGAGTGGTCTTGTTTTTTTCTTGACCCATCATGGGGACAGAGTGACCTTGTCAGATGTTGGTGTTCTGTGAAATTGTTTATGTTTAGCATAGTATACTGGGACCTAGCTGGTAGTGCATAACCAACTCCCAGCTGTCAGGAGTCATTTTTTTTCTTACTCTATTGAGAATTCTGTTTTTTCAGTAGGTACTGCTAAAAGTAAAATGCTTCTTGTTTTTTAAAAATAGTTCTTCAAGTTTCTGTTATCTTATATTTAGAGTAGACTTTGTGCTTTGTCATACACAGTGGCTCTCAACCCAGATCTGGCAAAATGACCTGGATTTGTCCATTCTGCATGAAATTAGGTATTTCCTGCCTGATTTTAAGCTGTAGTAAACCAAACAGAATGAAAATTTTGCACGGCCATACTGGGTATCTAACAGTTCCAGTTTTGTATTAGGATATTTGCTGCTTGTAGCCTTTGTAGTTTGTTTGTTTTGCTTCTTTCTGTTTATTATGTATGTTTTATAGAAAAATTTATAAAAATAGAACAAAGAAGAATATTAAAATAATCTGTAATCCTATTACTGAGTATTATCTCTAACACAAATGTGTTGTATGTACAATTGATATATGCATCTTATTTTTATTAAAATAAATGACTTTTAGAAGTTTTGTCATTCTTGTATTTTTGCAAATTTTATTCATTAATGAATATATTTATCTGAGATTTTAATCAGATATAGTAGCTAACATCTATTGTTGGACATATTTGATTTGTTAGTTTTTTCCTCTAGGTTGTTAAGTATGAGATGTCTGATTTTCTTAAGTATTGTAATATGTTTGATAGTTGATATCTCTTGACATTTCACTTTGACACTTCTATTCCATTATTTATTTATTTATTTTTTATTTTGAGATAGTCTCAGTTTGTCACCCTTGGTAGAGTATGTGGCATTACAGCTCATAACAGCTTCAAACTCTTGGGCTCAAGCAATTCTCTTATCTCAGCTTCCCCACTATTGGACTACAGCCACCTGTCATAATGCCTGGCTATTTTTAGAGATGGGGTCTTGCTCTGGCCCATCTCAAACTCCTGCGCTCAAGCAGTTCATCTGCCTCAGCCTCCCAGAGTGCTAGGATTACAGGTGGGAGCCACTATGCCTGGCCTATCTTATTTTATTTTTAGTGTAAAGGTACATCTTCATTCTTTCAAACACATGTTTCAGCTTGTAACTATCTTTCAAATTTCTTTTAGAGTAATTTTTGTGAAACTATGGTTAGATTAGTCAAAAATTTTTGTTACTTTCAAATATGAATTCCATCCTAGAAACAGTGCAGCACAGACATCTCACAATTATCAATAAAGTGTTTGGGAACGATGTGGCTAATGAACGCGTAGTGTATCAATGCTTTGTGAAGTTCCATTCTGGTAACTTTAATTACCAGCGATAACATGCGTGACCTGAGACCAAGGTCAATAATAACGAGCTGAAAAGTTGTAGAAGTGAATCCATCTCAATCTACACGTGAATTTGTACCAAGATTTGACGTTTGACGTACTATTCCAATGATATTGGACCATTTGAAACAATTTGGGAAGATGAAGAGGCTAGATAGATGAGTTCTGCACGAATTAAATGAGCATCAGAAGAAAAATTGTCTGGAAGCTTGCCGCCTTAGTTGTCACAACATGAAGGCAAATCATTTCTACACTGTATTGTTATGTGTGATAAAAAATGAATTCTTTTTTTTTTTTTTTTTTTTTTTTTTTTGAGACAGAGCCTCAAGCTGTCCCCCTGGGTAGAGTGCCGTGGCATTACAGCTCACAGCAACCTCCAACTCCTGGGCTCAAGCGAGTCTCCTGCCTCTGCCTCCCAAGTAGCTGGGACCACAGGCGCCCGCCACAATGCCCGGCTATTTTTTGGTTGCAGCCGTCATTGTTGTTTGGCGGGTCCGGGCTGGGGATTCGAACCCGCCACCTTAGGTGTACGTGGCTGGCACCTTAGCTGGTTGAGCTATAGGCGCCGAGCCAAAAATGAATTCTTTTTGATAATCACAAGCATTCATCACAGTGGTTGGATAAAGATGAAGTGCTGAAACACAATCCAAATGAATATTCATCCGAGAAAGCTACTAGTGTCTGTTTAGTTCAGCACTGGTATTACCCACTACAACGTCAGGAAACCTGGTCACTCACTTTTAGTGGAGATTGGCTGCAGCCAGTTGGAGGACATGATGAGGATGCTTGTGATTAAGCAACTGAGATGGGTTAATATAGATAGGCCAGTCCTTTTGTAAGATGATGCTCTACCACATGTCACACAACAGTGCTGTTCAAACTACAAAAGCTGAACTTGGAAACTTGCTGTTATCCACTGTGTTCATCAGACCATCTTCCAACTGACTACCACTTTTTCTAGGGTTTGGATTACTTCTTGCGAGGGAAAATATTCAGTTCTCAACAAGCTGCGGAAAACACCTTTTGCAGTTTCCTTGCTACCTGCTCTGCAGGCTTCTTTGCTGCTGGCCTAAATAGGCCACCATTAAGATGGCAAAACTGTGTTGATAGTTTAGGCATGTGGCTTTGATTAATTGTACTGCTACTATTTGAGATAAACCAAACTAGTTTTATATAGATCCTTAATTATTTCCTTAGAATAAATTCCTTAAAGTAAAATTTCTGGATCAAATGATGTAAATATTTTAAGCCTTTTAATCTGTACTATTAAAATTTTCTCATAAAAAATATGCCGGCAGCATCAGAGCCACTATTAGCCAGTATAGCAATTTTGTGTGGGTTAGAAAATCTCCTTTAATTGGATACCATCCTGTAGTGGGATGAATGGTGAAGTATGAGCTGGGTGTCAGCCTCATCTCACTCCTTTTCTTTGATAGGTCCAGTGGAAGGGTGCAAATATCTGTTTAGTGGCTTTGGGTATATGAGAGTACTTGTATGCTTACGCCCTCAGCCTTGTATGATGATAATTGCATAGTATGTAATGAGAACATGGATTTTGGATTAAGATCTAGACTTTAATCCCAGTTCTACCATTTCCTGTTTCTTTAAGTTACATCAAGTTAAGTCCTCTAAAGTTTAGTTTCCTCATCTGTAAAATAGGGATAATTGTATTTTTTGATTGGAGTAGTTGTAAGGATTAAATGAGAATGTATTAAGTTGAACACATGAAATTCTATTTTCATGATCTTCAACCTAAATATGTTAAATCCTTAGCATAGTGCCTGGGACATAAGTGTTCCATAAAGGTTCACTGTTGTTAGTTTTATTCTTACTATCATCTCTAGACAAATGTTTTAATATTCATAAGTTGGTTTCTTAGTGAGTACCTGGACATTTGCCTAGAGTGCCCCTTTATACTTTGTGCTTATTATATTCCCTGGACCATGCTTTACATTTAATCTTACTTGGAAACAAATCTAGGGACTTGTAGTGAAATGAATTGGAAGGCTTAGTGAAAGCCAGTTGAGAAGATCAATCTATAGTTTTCTCCTTTATGTAATTATTACAGTGATACAGTAATACAGTGATATTAATATACAGTGATACTAATACCACTTTTAAGGAAGAAGCAGTGGTTTCTGGTCATAGTAACCATTTATTGTAAAATATTACACAATTGATTAATCAAAAAGGATATCGTTCTTTCTCACAGTGGAAGTTGCAATGCTATACTTGTAACTTTCCCTTTTTTGTTCTTTTTGTTTTCCCTCAAAAGATCCTCTTACCACAGCCTCCTGAGTAGCTGAGACTACTAAGGTGCACTCCACCATGCTCGGCTAATTTTTGTATTTTTTGTAGAGACAGGATCTCAGTCAGGCTGGTCTGGAACTCCTGGCTTCCAGTGATTCATCCTCCTGCTTTGAGAGGCCTCCCAAAGTGCTAGGATTACAGGTGTGAACCACTACATCGGCCTGGTCTTTGAAATATACAAAAAGTGATACAATTCAAAGGCATTATTTTGTGTTTAGATTTTTTCTTATCTTTCATCAAATAGCCTATTTTTTTCTTAGCAACAGAACCACTTGTTGTGTTCCAGAAAAGCCACCTCAGGGTATATTGTGTAGCAAGTGGAAATTACATGAATGTTGTATTACTCTTACAAGCTCCCGTGAGTATTTGAAAGCTTACAGTGTTCTATTTGCAG